TAGGTTGGGTGGGGGTTGGCAATAAGTGACGCTTAGATTTTTTTGGGGCTGGCAACAAGTGACTCTAATTTTTATGTAAGTCTTCTTTTAATTCCCACTATGACTGTGAACCGTAAAGGTCCTATAAAGTCCCTTGCCCGATGAAGTTCTTCGGTGGTGTAAGTATTACACGAGTTCACACCAAGAAACTGGAGCACGATCAACCCCTAGCTTGAGCCGCAGAAACATAACGGGTGCTAGTAGTATCCAAGATGTAGCACAACAGCAATGCTGATTTGAATGGGTAGCTTCGTTATGCAGCTTTCGGATAAAGGCATGCGGGGAAGTCAAAACATGTATAGTAGCCGTCATCTGCCTAGTCACTGCCCTGCGTGCAAACGCACAACATTTTGAATCTCCGGATGAGGCAGGTTGTTCGCGCCAGTCCGTGCTTGCACACAAAGGAGCCAGACGGCTAATTTCGCGACGCTAAAATGTTTGGAGTTTGCTTTTGAAATTTCTCATTTTCTTCTCACAATCAGAGGAACATTATGCGATCGCAGTGCGGTGCAGTTGGTGAGTTTGAATTTACTGAATGATCCAGCACTGAAGCCTTGAAAAAACCTTGCGAACAACAGTGCTTTTTGTCATTCCTACCTTCGGAGTTCAAGCACGTTACTTCAGATAGATGTTGTTTATTACTATCAAGTCATCAAGATGTTGCCTTTAAAAGTACACTGCGGGTAAAACTTTACTGAAGAAGAATGCAAATAAAGAGAAGCTGTAAGTAAACCAATCTCCTGAAAAAGCGAGTCTCGTCTGATGGGACAAGCAACACCCTAATGCAAAGTATCATTCTGTGTGTGACTGTAGGAGACTCGAAACTGCTTTGCACACATTGTCAAACAACCATGATCGTGACATTTACAGGTTCATACCTCCAGTCTGACCGATTTGGATTATTTGCTACTTGGAGAGGAAAAATCACGTTCAAACCGTTTAGGCAATGTGTGCAAAGCGGGGTCTCTAAATCACAGAATGAATGATAAAAGTCTTTCTTTGTAGAGGACTACTGATTTGAGTAATACAGGATGCCTGCGCTTACATGGTGCACCAATTCACTGAACAAGATCACCCTTCGGGCAAGGAAGCATAACGGGACTAGTGCACCATTCATATAATGATTCGATTATGTGGAGTTTTCGATCCACATTTATCGCTTCAGGCACTCCTTAAAGCTTACATCACCTTGTAAGTATCGTGAACTGATCGTTAGTTCATCCAAACATGTTAACATTCAGCAGAATGCAGAAATTGATACTCGTAGAGATCGTATTGAACTCCTCCGCTGGAAAAAGGTTTGAAAACTCCCATACTCAACAAAATCGGCATTGATGACACTGTTAGCTGTCAATACAATGAATGATAGAAGACAAGTTCATTCGTTTGCGCAAAAAAGCATCAAAAAAAATGAAAAAAGGACAATTCGGCGTTCCAAAATTAGCCTTCTTGCTGAATTAGCTTGATGACTTGATGTAAACAACATCATTCACTGTCAGAAGTAACGTGCTTGAACTCCAAAAGTAGAAATGACAAAAAGGACTAATGTTAGCAAAATCTTTTCAAGGCTTCAGTGCTGGATCATTCAGTAAAATCAAACTCACCAACGCATCGCACTGCGATTGCATAATATTCCTCTGAAAAGAAAATGAGAAACTTCAAAAACTCGACAGAAACCATCAATGACGTGGGTAGCTGCGTTTATACAAAGGAAGATAGTCGACAACTTGAGCAACAGGCAAAAAGTATCAAAAATGAAATGAAAGCACTTTAGCGTCACGAAGTATGATAAAGCTCTGCTACGAAGAAAAACAGCTCAATGGAACTCAGGGGAAATGCACTGATGCGAAGGAAACGTGAATCAATCAATGTTTGGGCGAGGTCCCGCAACGAACCGCGTTCTTTGGGAGCTGTTACGCGTTGTTACAACTCCCCCATATTAGAGACTCCGAAGAGTGAAGGGGTCGTTCAGAAGCCGACAAGAGGAGGCGACCGGTAGAAAGTTAAGTTCTGTCGGTTCGAATATTCGAACATTCGAATAAGTCGGTTGCAAATAATCGAACATTCGAATAAGTCTTTTTTTTGTTGCGTCGAATATTCGAATATTCGAATATTGGTTTTTTCCAACGTATCGAATATTCGAATATTCGAATACGCCGTTTCTCCAAATGGGCGAATGAACGAATATCCGAATAATTGTCTCTTTTGTATATTCGACTATTCGAACAGTCGAATAATTGCGTTTTTTTCAAACATTCGACTATTCGAATATTCGAATAGTCGAATTTTTCGAATAAATTATTCGAACTCGAATATTCGGTCTCAACTATACAGGCGGCTATGCGATTTATGGATAGGCGGGCACCAGAAATATAGTTCACTGATTTCTTGAGGTCGGCATGCAGATATTTGAAAGAATGTTGGCGTCATAGATTAGATGCCGCGCAGCGGCCGCATTCTTGCGGACTTTCCGCGAGAATATGCAAAAATATTGGGAGGCTTACGGTCCTTTGTGAAAGACCGCAGCCCCCAGGTACTCTCTGCTGAGAGAAAGTACCTCAAACTTGAGTAATCAAACAAACGGTGATGACACCACTGCCACACAACCTTACCTGTGCTCGGCGTATGCCCGAAACTGCTAAAAAAGCGTCCGAGCGCTTGCTGAAAGTTTGGTCAGCGCTCGCTGATAGAACATATTTGACGAGCGCTTGCAAAAAATTTTGTATTGCTGCTTGCTGGCAGCACACGGAAGTACCGCTCGCTAAATGTTTGGCCACGCTCAAAATTCTCCTGACCGCCTGCAGAAAATCGCAAGTTTGCGGACCGCCTGCCCCCGGCAATCTGCAAGCTCTTGGCAGAATTTTGGGGCCAAACATTGAGCGAGCGGTACTTCCGTGTTCTGCCAGCAAGCAGCAATACAAAATTTTCTGCAAGCGCTCGTCAAATAAGCTCTTTCAGCGAGCTTGGGCCGAACTTTCATCAGGCGCTTGGACTTTTTTTACGCAGTTTCGAGCAAACGCCGATCAAAAGTAACCACTCTACATAACAGAGGTGTCGTCAATGGTTCAATTACCCGAGTTTGGGGAAACTTTCTCTCGAAGTAACCCATGGGTTGTGCGGTACTCCACAAACGACCGTGCGGCCCTCATTAATTCTGGATATTCTCCGAAAGGTCCGCGAGAATGCGTCCACTGCGCCGCAACTAATCTATTAAGAAACTGTAAATGCTCTCCGATTCGTCCAAAATTTCGCCAAAATTCTTCCAAATATCTGCAAGTGGATCGCAAGAAATCAGCAAACTATTTTTCCGTTACCCGCTTGCCCAGACATCGCATGGCCGCCTGCCGCCGATTATCTGAGTGAGTGTCATACGGTACAAAAAATCGAAACATACTAGGTGGCTGCATAAACTGTCCCTTTCGCTGTTTTTAGACTCAAAATATTATAATCTTTTTCAAAACAACCTTCTTTCGATAAAGTGTGGAATAATCAATTTTCAGTCTTTTAAATAAAAAGATTATGAACTTTGCGAAAAACGCTGCCAAATGAAAAACAAAGTTTTTAAAGTCTGCAATGAATTCTCTAAACCTGTCTCTTTCCAACAATGATGCTCTCTCATGAGGATAGGAAGGCAATATAGTAACTTTCAAAGGATAACGAGAAATCTGAAGGTTATTTTATGACGCTATACTCCTCGGGTTACTCCTTCTGCATTGGCGCACGCGCATCTGGCCATCCTAGGTTATAAAATATATGCACTTAGGGGGGGGGGGGGGCGAAAAGTGATTGCTGTAAGATAAGCTCTGCTAGCACTTGCTTTGCTTTAGCACCTTCAACATTGATTCATAGGTTATCGCTATGCGCAATTTATTGCTTGTGGAACGTTTATATGAACGATTGGTTTTGGACAACAAACGCTAAAACCAAGGCATAAAAATGGGATAGAACACATCCACCTAGCACTTTCGCGTAATGATTCAACAAGAGAAGACAAGCAAAGTTTCATGTTGGTCCCAACGCTCTTGCTTTTTTTAACTTATCGTAAAGACACATAGAAGAATTGAGCAAATTCTTGAAAATCATTGGACACAAGTTTTCCTTTTCGTAATAATCTGCTCCTTTTTTCGCTTGCTTGCGAATTTCCCATTATCATCACTAAAATAATTGCTAAGATTTTGAAATGGTCTTTGCCTGAAGTTTGGCAATTTTTCATTAGAGTTTTAAATTAGCTTTGATGGCAGCTAGATATAGCAAGCAGAGCGCAAGAAAATTTATTGGGCTCTTTAATTAGCTTTGCAGAAGTTTTAAGGCAATTTCTTCAAAAGCCTTCACTTATATATAATCTTGTCGGCTTTACAAACTGGAAAGAGCCTCTACGTTAGAAAAAAGCTGCGTTGAATCAGGTGAGAGCTCCCCTCCGGTTGATATTTGTGAGTGACCCAATTTCGAGTTTGAAAATTATACTGGAGCGATAATAGCAGAACTCCCCTCACTGTCAAACGGCAGAAATCCGTTGTATTGAATGGTTCGATCCACCTGACTATCATCAAAATCTTTCCAAAAGCTTGGACAGAACTTTGAAGAGTTGCTAAGTCTGAACTCGATAGAACTATGGGCTTGACATTTCGACAATTTTTTTAACCTTGAAAAGCACCATTTTATTAACAGGACTGCCACGAAGAGGAAGAAAAGCTGTAATGAATAGCGTTAGCAGCGTTTGCTTACCTCTATTTTACATTCGTGAGGTCGAAAAACAGCACGAGCTTCTGAACTGACCCGACAATTATGCCAATATTTGGCAGGATTAAATTCTGAAAGGTCTAATTAAGTGTGAAGAGGTTGAAAGGAAGATGCGTGTGCGAATATTCTTTGTCAGTTCGACATTCATGATGGAGCCGTAGCCGTTTTTCTTCCTGATCGCCGGCAGTTTTCGACGACGAGTCTTCTTTCATGAATTTCAGAGAGCTTCAAATTGGTGACATAGTGTACGAGATTGCAAAGGTTACAACTACTACTACGACAGCTAGTATAACTTCAAAACCGGTCGCGTCATCAATGACTACATCAACATCACCAACGATCACATCAACATCATCAATGACTACATCAATATCATCAATGACTACATCAACATCACCAATGACTACATCATCAAACGATGGACTAAACGCTACTCAATGCGCAATACCATCAACAACGCCAAAATGTACAGCTGTGTTGACACTTATGCGTCCTTCGCGTTTCTTGCGTAATTTCACGGTTCGTATAACGTAAGAGTTCTCAATTTATATATTTATATATATTTATTTATTTATTTGTTCATTTATTTATTTATTTATTTATTCATTTATTTATTTACTTCATACACAAGAGTGCATCGAAACAGAAAAAAAAAGAACAAAAAACAACACAGAAAATGGGATCGGATAACTTGTTCCTTGCTGAATTGATCCGGTCGTTCTCCTTCTCCAAAAAGTGAGTGGGGCTCTGCCGAGATCTTCTACCCTTACGCAAATGCGGTTATAAGGCCAGATATCACCGGGGTTTGGCTGACCAACTTAACGGGGGGAGCACGAATCCGGCAGGAACCCTGGGCGAACAAGAAGGGGGGACTTCTAGGCATAGCGCTCATTAGTCTTCGATATCCTCGAACGGCTACTCCATGCTAAGGCCCGTATGCACGTCCCTCCCCGCTGGGGAGGGAGGAGAGTTGGATTTTCAGGGGAACGGTCCCCCCCCCCCCCACTGAACCCCACCATGACAGAGGGGAGGCGAGCGACCCCTTCCCCTGCACCTCAGCGAGGATGTGTGAATGGTTTCCGAGTTATTGATCCAACGAACCCCGGTGCATACGGGGTTTGCATGGGGGAGGGGATCCCTTTCCCCTCCCCACTCGATCCCCGTATGCACGAGTGTAACTCAACAACGCGGAAGAGGGGATCGACGTCCCCTACAATGGAGTAGGTGTTTGATGGTGTACGTCATGCCAAAGAAGCGACTAATCTGGTTTCAATCAGTTATTACAGAGCATTTCGTTCAAAGTGATGAAAGATTTTCATGGTAGCCGGGTTCCTCTCTTAGCGAACTGTAACTTGCAGTTTTGTCTCTCTCTTCTATATTCGCTTCTCGTGAAGAAACCCAGGCATATATCTGCCAGTTTCGAATATCTGTAGGAGTTTCTTAACATTCTCGACGCTAGTTATATCCATGAAGACTGGTGTATACAACACATTGTAACTATCATATTATATGACATGATGTCTTTATCTTGTTATCCTAACGTAAGCTGCTTTGAAAAAAAATAAGAAATTAGCAGATTTGCCCATTTCTGAGTAGAGATCCTCGGGGGAGTGATCCCCTCCCCAGCGTTCCCCTCGTGCATACCAGGGATGGCCGCTGGGGATCGTTCCCCTGAAGTAAAGGATGATATGTCGCTAATAGCTACAGTTTTCATGGAGAGCTGGCACGATTTGCAGCTTCTGTTATGCGTAGAAATGCTGGTTAGTTTCCCCCTCCCTTTTTTTTTCGGCAGCATGTCTTCTACCCGTCCCCTGCAGAGAGATCTGACTTCTATTGTTGAACACCTTTACGCTAAAATGGCCAGCATGAGCGAAAGTGAGCAGCATCATGACAACAGCAGAACTATATTGGGCCTAGAAAATATAATTTTTGGTGTGCCGAGCGCATTCACGGCAGATGCGCATTCCGCAATGCCTAAAACATTGCTGCCGATGATGAAAACTGAAGATAAGCAGTCGTCAAAAGATGAGAATACAAAAAAATCGCCATATGAAAGCGAAAGAAAAGTGATGTCCCCGCTCGATCCCCTAGTGCATAAGGGGGTTCCCTTGCCCTACTCCCTGGGGATCCCTTTGCCGATATTGTCTGCTTGCATACGAGGGTTCGCCTGGGGAGGGGAGGGGAGCCCAAGTGGGGATCATTTCAATAGTAAAACGCACATCCCCTTCCCGCGGGGATGTGCGTGCATACGGGCCTAAGGGAACTTTTCCAAATCCTCCAAATAGACTTGAAAAATGTAATTTTCAAAAGTTTATAATGAAGTTGGAGTTTACCGTGCAAATTCGAGGAGGAAGATATGCAGGGTGTCTTGCAAACGTAGCGAGTATTTGTTCGTTAGTATTTCGCAAATATTTGAGCTTCTTTGATGCACATTTTGTGTTCCGCTATTACTCTACTACTGCCACTAATACAACCCACTATTAAGACTGTTTATTAGATAGTAGCGGTGCAGCCGCTGACTATCAACATTGAATATGCGGAGCAGTCGCATAGTAATAGTAATCGAACCAACTCTAAAACTTATCGTTAGTGGTCAGGCCCTTTTTGTGACTTTCGGGCGTGGGTTTGAATGTCGTTACTGGCAAACAACAGTAGAATCAAGGATTGCCTACATAAAAGTAGGCGCCGCCAAGTAGACTATCAAGCACAATGAAGGGGTATCCTGGCGGTTGTAAGTGAACAGGTGATAAGTGGTAAGTGAACAGTAAGTTTGTCAACGACAAGCTACTAGATGTGGAATATAACATGCATTTTTACTCTTTAGTAATGAAGGTTGCAGATTATCTAGATAATCTACGACAGCCCCATTACATACATCAGGCTTGCTTTATATTCGCAGCTTGAAATTTTCATTGTTGTTCATAATTGTATGTTAATTGTAAGAAAGAATCCCGTCTAAATTAGCTACCGTTTTAGAAAACGTTCATTGGATGTGCAGAAAGTTGTGCAGCACTGTCTCATTCGTGTTTATATCATTCGTTATTTTTGATTTGTTTTAGTAGTGATTTTTGGTTATTTTGTAGCAGATAATGGCGGTAATTGTTTGAAGACCCTTTTCGAAGTTTTTGCCTTAATCTGTTGTAATGAACAACGGTCGGCGAAATCTTTCCTGCTGTAAATTTGAATCGAAGCCAGTTTGAGCGACAAAAATATGTTTGCAGATGCTGGTGTTAAAAGAGAGTTGTAACTTACTTAGATACTTACAATTAAATGGCCCAGCTTCACGTGACGTGAAGGCTCCAGCACAGAAGTTTCCATTTCTCCCTGTCCCCCGCTTCAGACATCCGCGATCCTCTTGGCTGACATCGGTGGCTGCGTTCACGAGGTGCAAAAATCGTATCCAGCTGATTTTTCAGCTGGTCCATCCGTTCCACGAACACGTAGGCCCATGTCGTTGGAGATATTCCTTCGGGACGTTTTGCTTCGTGGAGAATCCGCTTAAATGTTCTCAGTGTCCATCTGTCGTCTGTTCTTCTCATAGTGTGACCGGCCCATCGATGCTTCGCTTTCGCAATGTGATCCGCTGGATCGCGAAGACGGAACACTCTTTTCATATTCGTACTGCGAAGTCCGACGTGTTGCTTGTGCCGGGTTATCTTCAAAAGACTGCGCTCTAGCGTTCTGTGAGTGGTGCTTAAAGGCAGCGTCCGGGCAAAACCTCGACTTCCATGTTTCTAGCGTTTCTTGCTTTTTCGACGCCCCTGAATCTAAATCCGAACCGAGAATTGCTTGAAATCTCCAAAACCCCCGTTTCTGGAACCCTATTTCAATAATCGCGGACGAGTGTTCCGAAATTTATCTAGTGTAGTGACACGTGAAAACATGTGTCAAAGGTAGAGACACTGCGTGTAACGACACGTCAAAGGGGCGCGTCAAACATGTAAGCTCGTCTTCGTAGGCGTAAGGGGAGCGGAAGGAGGAAGGGGAGCGGCATGACCCGCCCACCTGACTTTCAGAATTCACATTTTCGGGGCGGACTTGCTGTTTTGTCTTAGTTGAGGGGGACCCTGTCGAAATGTGACAGCATCTGAGGTAGGTCAATTTTGCCCGGACGCTGCCTTTAAAGGCAGCGTACACCCAAAACTTCATCTTCGATGTTTTTGTCAATTGGGGCCTTTTCGTGCCACTGCTCAAGTAATCGCCGAGGGCAGGCGGCCATGCGATTTATGGGCGGGCGGGCACCGGAAAAATAGTTTGCTGATTTCTTGCGGTCCGCTTGCGGATATTTGGAAGAATTTTGGCGAAATTTTGGACGAATCGGAGAGCATTTACAGTTTCTTAATAGATTAGTTGCGGCGCAGTGGACGCATTCTCGCGGACCTTTCGGAGAATATCCAGAATTAATGAGGGCCGCACGGTCGTTTGTGGAGTACCGCACAACCCATGGGTTACTTCGAGAGAAAGTTTCCCCAAACTCGGGTAATTGAACCATTGACGACACCTCTGTTATGTAGAGTGGTTACTTTTGATCGGCGTTTGCTCGAAACTGCGTAAAAAAAGTCCAAGCGCCTGATGAAAGTTCGGCCCAAGCTCGCTGAAAGAGCTTATTTGACGAGCGCTTGCAGAAAATTTTGTATTGCTGCTTGCTGGCAGAACACGGAAGTACCGCTCGCTCAATGTTTGGCCCCAAAATTCTGCCAAGAGCTTGCAGATTGCCGGGGGCAGGCGGTCCGCAAACTTGCGATTTTCTGCAGGCGGTCAGGAGAATTTTGAGCGTGGCCAAACATTTAGCGAGCGGTACTTCCGTGTGCTGCCAGCAAGCAGCAATACAAAATTTTTTGCAAGCGCTCGTCAAATATGTTCTATCAGCGAGCGCTGACCAAACTTGCAGCAAGCGCTCGGACGCTTTTTTAGCAGTTTCGGGCATACGCCGAGCACAGGTAAGGTTGTGTGGCAGTGGTGTCATCACCGTTTGTTTGATTACTCAAGTTTGAGGTACTTTCTCTCAGCAGAGAGTACCTGGGGGCTGCGGTCTTTCACAAAGGACCGTAAGCCTCCCAATATTTTTGCATATTCTCGCGGAAAGTCCGCAAGAATGCGGCCGCTGCGCGGCATCTAATCTATGACGCCAACATTCTTTCAAATATCTGCATGCCGACCTCAAGAAATCAGTGAACTATATTTCTGGTGCCCGCCTATCCATAAATCGCATAGCCGCCTGCTCTCGGCGATCATCTGAGATATTGCGTAGGCGCATTCTGAAATTTTAAACGAAATGCTCGGAGAACTATCGCGGCTTTTCTGTAAATCAGTTGCGGCGCATTGGCCGCATTCTCGCGGACTTTTCGTGAAAATATGCAAAATTTTTGAGGGCCGCACGGCCCTTGTAAAAGACCGCGCATCCCTCAGGTACTTTCCGCTGAGAGAAAGTACCTCAAACTTGAGTAATTAAACCAACGGTGACAC